CCCCCATTAGAGGATTATTTCATGTCACTGTAAATAACTAATTTTTTTAATGTCTCTTTCCTGTCTATGCCTTGGGCTGCTTGCTTAGCTCTTCCAAGCTAATATATTAATCTCATTTATTTACTCATTTATTCAAAAATATGTATTGAAAGCCTACTGTGTATTAGACACCATGTCAGAAACAGGGACTAGAGCAGGGTAGAAAGCTGAGAATATTTTGCACTCTTGGAATTTGCAATCTTACAGGAAACTAATAAAGAACAAGTAATCACTGTCATAAGTGTCCAGCGAGGACAATGAAGAGTCCTTGGATGTCAGACACATGCCAGTACCCAATGCAGAGCTGTGCAAGTGAGGGAAGTCCTCCTTGAAGGGAGGCATTGTTAGAGATAGAACATGTGTCAGGCAGAAGGATCAGGGGAAGGAGCAGGTATTTCAGAGGTAGAAGCAAGAGGAGCCTGGGACCTTGGAGGCAGAGAAAGAAATGCACTCTGGTTGGAATGTAAAGGTAGGAGAAAGAAGTACTTGAGGCTAATGCATGGTCATGCTGAATTATCACATAACAATGGAGTTACCTTATCCTAAGACAAACAAGAGGACAATCTGGTTTCGGTATTAAATAGGAAGATTGGAGGAAGTAAAAGAAGAGGCTATTGCAATCATCCAGGAGAGAGATGATGATGATGAGGGCTAGGATGAAGATAATGACTGGGACTAAGAAAATGGCTTAAGAGACTTTTAATGAGTTAGAAGCTGGGGGGCTTAATGTTTGCTTGGATGAGAAAATGAAGGTGGTGAGTGAGTTCAGGACAGCTCCCAGCTTTTCCTATTAAGCCTAAAATGCTAGTAACTACCCCACATAATGATGTAACTATTTTTAAATGAATCAGCAACAATCCTTACAGATTTAGACATAATATTATTGTATATGACACCATCATTTTAAAAAAGGCCTCTGTATTTTTTCATGTTATTGCAAAAAGTAATTAAAATGATACCTTTGTAGAATAAGGGGAAAAAGCAAGATGACCTCAAAAACTCATTCTAGAAGTAAATCAATATAATTCTCTATATCTGAATCACTAACGTAGTGATTCACGTCTAAGTTTAAAATATTTATTTGAGGTTTAAAAACATTTGGGAGAAAATAATTACATTCCTGATTATCATTGCATGTCAGTGCATTGTAATTGTATTACCTTTTTTTTTTTTTACTTTTTCTATATTTGGTATTTTTATATATTTTCTAATTTTTATGAAGAAAAATTGAAAATAAGTCAGTTATTTAAAAATTCACTGGTTTGAGTAATAGTTAAAATAAACTTCACAACTATTTTTTTGCAGGATCTGAACTCAGCTTTCTGTGAAAACGAACACAAAACAAACTACTGTTATTTTTAAAATAAATTTTTGAAAGCTAATATGTCTCTCCACAGGAAGTATGTAAAAAGATGCTTGTCCAATACCCTGTCTTTGCAAATAAACTGGTGGCAATGGAATCATTCATTTGATTCTTAAAAATAAATTTATTCAAAAACACTTAAACTTCAATTGAGCAGCAGACTTGAGTCTCAAAATAAGTAAGTGATAGACATTTCTAATGCTCTTAAAATGAAACTGCTGTTCATGCTTCCAAACAAAACAAAACATTGAGTCTATATGACTTCTGAAGCACACACCTATAACAACTTATTTTCAGAGAAATGAGCTCTGGAAAGCAAAGAAATACTTTTCAACATTGTAAATCAAGTGCTCTACTTCATTTTATTCTCAATGATTATCAATTATACATGCATGTGTACATTTGCATGTGTGTGTATGTAGTCAGTCAACTTCTCTTAACAATACATTTGTTTGTGAGTTATATATTCATCATTATGCTGTAATTTAGTATGCTTGAAAATTTTTAGGTTCACAGTTCCATAAACAAGAAAACTATATAATAAAGGGCATATTTAGAAAGCTATGTAGTATAGTTGTATAGTACTCTTATATGCAAATTATATTTACTTAGTCTTTTTTTTTTTTTTACTTAAAGATTTCTAAACTTAGGTCAGTTAATTAACTAGGGCCAAGAAAGCTGCAGAAGAATTATCTAGGAAGTCGGTAAAAACTAGTTCCTGAATTTCTGCTGTAGTATTATTTCTTGATCTCAATGCTGATTATGTAGTGCATTGGTCCTAGATTTATCAAATTATGCATTTGAAATTTCTACAATTTTCTGTATGTATGCTAAAGTTAGAATGGAAGAAAATATAAAGTCTCATTAAAATACATAGCTTAGAAGAAAACAGGAGAATATCACTGGATAGATTTTGTTGGTTTGGTTTTAGAAATAGGATCTTGTTATGTTGCCCAGGCTGGTGTTGAATGCCTGGACTCAAGCCATCTCCCTGCCTCAGCCTCCCTTGTTGCTGAGACTACAAACCTCTGCCATTGCAACCAGCTAAGTAGACAAAAGTTTTTAATCAGGATACACACCAAAAAAAAAAAAAAAAAGAAAACCCTAAAGAGAATAAAATAACAAACTGGACTACATTATAAACAAATCATCTTCATGAGGAAATACCATTAATTGAATGACAATGGCAAAAAGAAATATTTGAACATGAATTTTACTCAATAGGATTTGTAAGTGATGAATAAATATATAAAATATTTAAGGCTACATTTGTTTTTAGGAAAATTAAAGTTAAAGAATACAGCTTTCTATCTTTTGGTACCAGTAAAAACATCACCATCACCCACACACATGTGAAAAACTAAATTTAAAGACCATACTAGGTGTTGGGAATGCTGTGTAGCAATTGGAACTTTCATATATTACTGTGGGAGTGTAAATTGGTACAAGTACTTTAGAAAACTGTTTGGCAATATTCACTCTATCTGAACATATGCATAACTGTAATGGAGCAATCCCACTTGTAGGTGTACTTTGAAGAGAAGGGAGTATGCATGTCTCCAAGATCATGTTCAAGAATGCTCATAGTGATACTATTTATTACAGGTAAAATTAGAAATAAACCAAACATCATCCCCAAGAGAATGGTGCTATATAAAATATATTTTGCATTATTTTCAATTTTTGATACATCATTAAGTTATAGTTGTTTAGAAATAAATGTTTCAGAGCTGGGATAGTGGCTCTGTGGTACAGCATTTGCCTAGCATGTATGAGGCACTGGGTTTGATTCATAGCACCATATAAACAATAAACAAATAAAAATAAAGTTATTTGGGGCTAGGGTTGTGGCTCGGTGGTAGAGTGCTTGCCTAGCAAGTGTGAGGCACTGGGTTTGATCCTTAGCACCACATAAAAGTAACAAAATAAATAAATAAAATAAAGATATTGTGTCCATTGACAACTAAATTTTTTTTTAATTATTTAAAAAATTTTTAAAAAGAAAGAAATGTTTCAAATAACTTGCCCCACCCCATTGATATTCCTCTCTGGATATAAAGCATTTTAATTAGAAAAAATTCAGAAAGACCATATATATCAATTATATCACCTCTGAGATATTTTCTCATACAAATGAAAAGTTTAAAATGAAAAACATATATACATACATATATATATATATATATATATATATATATATATATAATCTAATGAACTATGTAATTTTTCTGGTTTTGCTCAGAAAATTTCAAGAAATTTGTTGGAATAAATAAAACATGACAAATAATATAACATAATATTGAAGTAGTAATAAAAATAGAAATAAAAACCAAGATTAAGGAATACAACATGTTTTTAAAATCTATAGAATAAAACTCATATAACTACTATGCATAATCTATAATTTTAAATGTCAGTTACACAGTTAATATCCATATAATAATATTCAATTGTACTTTATTCTAAAGTTAGAATTGCTTCAGAGGATAATGTTAAAAAGATACTGAATGGAGCTATAAACAACATTTTCAATAACATTAATACACTCACTTGGAATCTATCATCTCAGTTTTACATAATTCTTAGCTTCTAAATTTGAAATATTTCCTTTGGGATCTTCAGAAATTCACAAGTTAATTTCAATTTTTCCAAAGAACCAATTTCTAGTTCTGTTGATACAAAGATACTGCAAGGGTATTAATCTTTTTCATTTGTGTTACAAGGAATCAAAAAGTTGAGATGAAGTTTTCTAAACTTTTAACAAACTGTTCAATTTGAAAACCCAACATGATTACATTATAAATATGAATTAAATGCCATTAGCAATCACCATTGATATTTTAAAGTGTATATATGGTCCTGTTTTCTCCAAAACCCCACTTATTTTATAAGAAAATTGATTTTTTTTAGTAAAGTGGAGGAACTTCCATTTATTCAGTCAATATATATTTTATTTGATTTTGTCATCTATTGGATATTTTGCTTCTGGGATTAAGAAATTGTTGGTGGTGAGCATTTTGAATTGGTAAATTCCAATGTGGTTTATTTAAGAAATATATTTAGTTGCTGAGGGGTTGGGGACATAGCTCAGTTGATAGAATACTTTACTAGCATGCACAGGGCTCTGGGTTCAAGTCCCAGCAACACAGACACACACATACACACACACACACACTATATATATATATATTTTTTCCATTAGTATCTGAGTGAACTCCCTGGAGCTATAACTATTACTACCTAATAATGGCATTATATAGGCAAAGTTGTACTGTTAAAGTAATACATGGGTCTCTTACATTGTTAATGAGGCAGAAATTCACTCCTGACCCCAGTATTAATTTAGTACTTGCCTTTGACATTGAGAATGTGGTGGAGGGACTTCTTATCTTTAACTCCCACTGGTGGCTGGTATATCAGGTGATGCTTCTTTCTATTTTAGCTAAGTCAAAGCAATGTTAAACTTTGAAATACAAGCCTAAATTCAGAAAAAAAAAAAATTCCTCAAAGTTATCAAGTAACACAGTCCTCCTTGAGAACACAAAAAGTGACCCGAAAGACAAAGCTTGTCAGAACTTCCAAAGATTAGAATCTCAACCACTTTTGAAGATTGCTTTATGTTTTATTATCACCATGTGGTCATGTCTAGTAGCAATATAGAAATCAGGAACAAACATCTCCACATTCTAGCAACCTTACCTTAAAACATAGGGAAAGTGTATGTAGAGAGTAGAAAGAGAAACAGGAGTGATGGTAGAATCAGAACTTTTGATTAAGCTAGCCATTAATTTAATTGAATATGAAGTGTAAATAACTGTCCCAGGATTGAGCCACTATTTTATTAATTTGAACATATTGATTAATTAATTAAATAACACAAACAGACTGATAACGTGGCACTTTACACTCTTGTGTCCACAGCATACATTTTGGCAGTCTCTGTCCGAGGGGCCCCATAGGACTTGGCCAAGGAAACACCTGTCGTTGAATAGGGTTTCCTCATGGAATAAGGATAGTTTCTCTTAGGCCCAACATCTGTTTGAAAACAGTAAGTGTGATTCAGTAAACTTTGGAAAAAGGAAAAATGATGTCATTTTATGGTTGTTCCTACCACCCCCCGCCCCCACCCCCACTCCTCATCCCCAAAGGAATAAGACTTATACTTCTTAGTAGGAATCATCTAGGAATCCTAGAAAAAACCCTAGGGGAAAATATAACATTTTCATCCTGAAAGTTATTTTTTAAATTTAAAATTAAGCTGAGGAATTTACTTTTTTTCAGATGCAGAAAGGAATTTTCTGTTTGAATACTGTGCTTTTTAAAAACAAAATGTAACACATCAATTTCTTTAACAATTATTTTGCTGCCTCTCAGTTCTCTTCAGTATTGAAGAACATATACTCTATATTTTTGTGTTTGAGCAATAAAGCTTACGTATTACAAGTCAATTGTCATTGAACACATGGAATTTTTAATGGTAATAGGTAAGAGTGTAAATAAGTACCAATATAAGTAAATGAGATGTATTTCTCTGGGGTTGGGAAGGATAGTAGTGGAGGCAAGGAAGTGTGCTATTTTATTTCATCCTTACCTTTAAAGAGGTATAGGCAGCAAGTGAGGACAGCTCCAGCTAAAAAGCAGCCCAGAGACCCAGCCATTCCAAGCCAACAGGACCAACCAAATTTATATTGGATACCAAGGAATATATTGTGAAAAATCAGAGAAGAACGTTCCACATAAACATCAACAGCATACCACACAGAGCCAATGATTCCTGGAGCACCTGAATGAAAGAGGATTGTAAGATAATATAGAGCATGTTGCAAGTAAATCATTAAGTCCCTAACCCATGACTGAAGCCATGCCAGCTACATAGTCAGCACCAAATGCCAACTGTGTTTAATATTTTTTTAGGGGGAAAGGGGTACCAGGGATTAAACTCAGGAGTACTCGGCCACTGAACCACATCCCCAGCCCTGTTTTCTATTTTATTTAGAGAAATGGTCTCACTGAGTTGTTCAGCGGCTCGCTTTTTTGGCTGAGGCTGGCTTTGAACTCGCGATCCTCCTGCCTCAGCCTCCTGAACCGCTGGGATTACAGGCATGCACCACCGCTCCCAGTAATGCCAACTGTATATGAAGTCATTTATGTTGTAATTATAGTCCTTGTAATGTGTTGGGGTCAAAAACAAAAATATGAAGTAAAAATTGTCTTTATTTTTAAGTAAATCCTTATCTATCATCTCCATACCATATAAGAATAAGCAAACATTACTTCCTTTAAGTAAAATTGAATTCCCATCATTTAGCCTCTCTGACAATTGTCAGGTTTGAAATGAAGCCTTCCAAGGTTCCCTTCCTTTAAAGGTGTGTAAGTTATATGTTGAGGCCTAGGTGCAAGAAAGAAAGGTATTAAGCTGGGAAACACCCTTTTTTCACTGTAAAAGGGTGCTTCTAGAATTTCTAAATCTTTCCACTTTGCCCCTGAGAAGACTTCTATGTTTGTTTAAATCACCATTTTTGTTTAATTCTTCTAGATGATTAATGCAAATAATTTAAGAAGGATCAAATCATGAATATATAACCTAAAAAAAAATTACGAACAACTACATGTTTTCTATAATATTGTTACCTCTATGTTAATTTGGAAATATCTTTTTCAAACTTCAAAACAGATAATAGACTTTTAAAAACATGTGTGTATAGCATTGTCATTCTGAATAGTGGTTTCAAAGATTTAGTCATACCTGGGCATTTACTTTAGTCATTACTTCAGTAATTCCTACTGGATTTTTTTTCACTGACTCATTTATTTTTTTTAAATTTAATTTTGCCATGCATGGTGAGGCACAACTGTAATTCCAGACACTAGGGAGGCAGAGTCAAGAGGAGCACAAACTCAAGGCCAGCTGTTGCTCAGGCTTGAATGTGCAATCCTCCTGCTGTGATGTCCTAAGTATCTGGGATTAAAGTCACCTGCCACTGTACCTGGCTGAAAATTCACGGTAGCAATTCAGGGTAGATATCACTATCCCAGCTTTACCATGTTTTGCAGATATGGAAATGACATGACATGAAGATATATCCCAGGTATCTTTAGTTCCAAATTCCCTACCCATTTACTACTTCACACTACCTGCTCAGGTTCTCACATAACTGCTTGCTAAATTTTTGCTGCTACCATTTAAAATGCCCTTCTGGTTCACAGTCTTCCAGTACTTTGATTCCTTCAATAATATATCTCTTCCCAACTTGCATGAAGACTCAAAAAATACATTATGTCATGATAGAGTACTACACTTTGAATTTGAGCATAGATCTGAGTGAAATATCAATTTTGCTATGCCATTAAACACACTGATTTTTTTTAAAAGAGAGAAGGAGAAATTTTTTAATATTTATTTTTTAGTTTTTGGTGGACACAACATCTTTATTTTATTTTTATGTGGTGCTGAGGATCGAACCCAGTGCCCGCGCATGCCAGGCGAGCGGGCTACCGCTTGAGCCACATCCCCAGCCCCAAACACACTGTTTTAAAAGTACTCATGGACTTCTAGTTTATTATTTACACTTGATTTATTAGCTTTCAGAACTCCATTTCTTCATATGCTTGTTAAGTAAGCGAAAAATACAATCTGTTTATTTACGATCAAGTGGGTTGGCATATGAAGAAAATGTAACATAGGACTTGGGACAATTCATTAATTACATTAAAAAATTGGTGAGGCATAAGTAGAAGGTGACAGCTTGGAACTTGACTTTAGGATCCAACTTTAGGAATAATTGCAAAAGAAATTATTTTTAAGAAATAAAGCATTATATAACTTTTTAACTGGCTAAAAATTAGTTGGGAAACTTTGCCATACCTTATCTTGGAATATTAACTATGTGATTCCACAGGTAGGAAGCAGGGCTGGTAGGTATGCTTGCTATTCCTTCAATCTAGTAAAGCAAGCAACATATGACCCTAAAATAAAGCACTCCAGAACAGGAAAGGGTGCTGTCCTTGAGTGAGTATCTCTACCCCTGTTGCTAATCCCATCCAGTACCTGCTATTAGTAATGTTGTTCCAGCAACAAAGCAGATGCGCATTTTAATGTATGGCTCATCAGGGAGGAATTTCACACAGTCAAGACCAAGGAGCAGGGTGACAAATCCAAATCCAGCTAGGATGTCTGCAGTAATCATCAATGCTCGCGTGACCACCAGCTTCACTGGATGACAGGGCATGTGGTTACAGTAGTCAGAGTAAGAGACATGTTAACTCACAGAGGTACATTAAAAACAACAACAACAACATAAAAAAGCCAGACAACCATATACATTGGTACAAACCCAATGATAGAAATCAGATTTGGCATTTGTATAAACTTGGTTATGAATATCCTTAATTTTTTCATAAAATTCAAAAAGAGTCTGAACTTATTGCCATTATAAATTGTTATTACTTAGTTTTGTTGGCATTTTAGCAGATTGCATCCTGGTAGATAGTGGGGACTAAGAAAATGTTTTTCTTTTCGCTTCCTGCTCTGGAGTGTTATAGCTGAATGCTAAATTGAAGGTAGAATATTTTCTCTGTGGCAGTCACCCAATAAATACTGGATGAATAAATTAATAAATGATCTCCATAGTTTTTGACATTTTCTTGAAATGTTTAAAATAATTGTTAGAATTTTGCACATGAATATAAGATAAAATATTTTAAGACTCTTCTTGCCAATTCAGACTGGTGGGAACCATGAGAAGACCTTTAGAAAGCAGAATTCATTTCTGCTATTAAATAGAAGACCATCTCTGGAAGCCAGATCATGTTCTCTTTCAGCCCTTCATATCATGTCCCTTCTTGGCCAAAACTCCACATTAACCCTTGAGTTCTGCACTGTCAAATAAGCATATTTTAAAGCTACAGGGAATAAGAATGTAGAACAGGAAAGAAAGGCTCAGGTAAATAGAAGCAGAGCAGCTGCTGTCACCTTTTGGAAAAGACTCATAAGTTCTGAGTGACAGTTATGCTACATTAACAGCAAGGAAGTTATATCACAAAGGGAGAGTTAATTACATGAAGTTGGAATTACAACCATGTTAATGGATACACAAGGGTAACAAAATTTATTCCTTTCACAGTAATTATATTTTATTTTCATAGTGATCTGAGGTATCCTTGTCTTTTAAATAGTTTCTTCTCAATGATGAGGTAAAATTAGGGCACATTTAGTTATTTGTTGCTTGCAAGAAATGCAGCCATTTTTTTTTCCTTATTTAAAATGAGAAAATATCTCTGTAATGTATCTGAGAAAAGAAGTCAAAGCATAAAATCTTCCTCTACCTTATTTGTAGGAGAACATACTATATATGCTTATCTTATTAATATGTATGAATATACATTTGTTTTTAGAATTTAATTTGTAATATCTCAAAAGTTGGCATTATTTCAAAAAAATTAAATATTCCAAATCTGAGGCTCATTTTTCTAGAAATTGAGGGAAAAGAAAAATGTAAAACTAAATAAATGACATCAGGTTTTTTTCTTTTTCTTTCTTTTTCTTTTTATTTTCTTTTTCTCAGCATATCCTATTTATTTCAAATGGCATGTACAAGTGGTCTCTCATTCAGTGTTCCAGGCCAAGGAGTATTTTGGAGGGCCTCCTTTGACATTGTCTCATTCCACTTTTGAGCCTGGGACTACCTGGGGCCAGCAGCACCATTGGGATGGAGTGGTCTGCACTCATGCAGACCCTCATGGGCTCTGGTTTCTTCTTCCCACCCTTTTCCCTACATGTAGGGCCTCCTTGGAGCTCCAAGACTCCTGCCAACAGGATAGCCCATTGGTTACATGGTCAGCTTGGTTCCAGAAGGGCAGCCCAGCAAGCAAATTGCTCATGCAAGCGGATGAGGAATGTTTTTGGTATCATGTGGGACTCAGCTATCAGAATGGAGCTAATATGCCAATTTGTTCATGGAGAAGCATCTCAAATTATCTTTATCAATAGGAGCTCTGCGAAACACCTAGGGTCAGACACAGTAGGAAGGCAATGGAAAGTTTTCTAACTGTGGTTGTATAAAAATAGCAAAACTAAAAATGAAATTTTACTTCCTCATAAGAAACATCCTAATGTACAGGGTTTTGATATGTTATTCTTCTAGAATAGATTTTCATCTCTGTTGTCTTTAAACATATGAAAGAAATTTTTTAAAGGACTGGACCTGTATATCCTTATTTTTTTTCATAAAATTCAAAAGTAGTCTGGGTCTTTATTATTTGAAAATAATAAGAACAAAAGGAAACATGTGAGATGGAATAATCAAAATATTTAAGAGGAACATATTTGTAAGCAGAGATTTTCTCTATATAGTGGGCTTACAGTGATTTTTTTTTCTCTTGAATAAATGTACATAATAGTTCTTCAATTTTTGAACTGTTTAATCGTTTGTTTTTCTTCTCAGCTCTGGCTATGTACTGAGTGCCCAACATGAATTTCCATTCCCAAATCATGCTTCTTTATAGGTAGTATGGTGAGGAGAAAATGGAAAGAATTAAAAAGACTTTTAAACAAAAAATTAGTAAAAGTGCTTTAACATTCTGCATTATATTAAAAATGTTTCAGGGACGTAACTCCTAAATAGCAGGTAAAGAGCTCTAAGTGCTTTTCCTTGGACTGAGACAGCTGTCCAGGGGAAATGTCACATTCCAACACTCGACTTCTCATTTATCTTAAGAAAAGAAGTTGCCATGTGGCGCCATCACCCACCATTTGCTTTGAGTGGGACTAAAACCACTTTGCTTGAATAACAGAACTGGTATTTCTTGGCACAGCTCAATGTCTTAAATAATAAAGAAGGATTGAAAGAATCAACAATAAGATTTTATAATTTAAGAGATCTCCTTATTTATAGTAACATGGGCCTTGCTAATACCCAACTAGGATTAAAGCTGAAAGTAAAGAAGTTGAAGACACTGGCTCTCATGTGCTGCCAGTAATGTGCCACTGGTGTTGATTTTTTATCCTCTGATCCCTACATTCTGTGTGTCTGCCTTTGACTATTTACCTCCTCCTGTCTCTGCCTCTCTATCTCCACTTCTGTCTTAGCAAATCTGATTAAAATAAATGCAAACTTCCTATTTGAAAAAAAAGTCCTCGCTGAAAAGACATTTCTGAAATGTTATTCATCTAACTTGTCAATTCTAATCATAAAAACACAGTACAAAAAGACTCATTTCAATTAAAAAAGCATTTTACTGCAAGCCTACTGGATATGAGGCACTAGCAGAGATGATATTTTACACTCAAGGAATCTACAAATATATGGGAAAAGATAAAATGTGCTAAAATGTGTTTCAATACCCATTTCAGAAATGAAAGTATTTCTAATAGAAACATCTCTAACTGGACAGGACTTTAATCTAGTACTACAGAAATCAAAACAGGCAATGGATATGGGAGCCCCATTTCCCATGGCATTCCTTTGTTGGCAAGCAGGGCATCAAGGCATACGTACAGGGGTGCTCTGCATATATAGAGTCATACTCATCACAGGTGCGAATCCCGTCGAAGGCATTTGTGACACACTCCCACCAGAGGCCTCGGCACTTTGTGCTCACCTGGATATTGGAGAAGACACCTTATGAAATGAGGCAGACACCCTTCACTTTCACTTCATCAGAGAAAGAGACCCCCCTGGTGTTGTGTCTGAGAGCAAGGCACTGCGGTCGTGAACGTGATCAGAATTTCATTTACAGCAAACAATGCATTTTGGAATATCTTCTCTTAAGTGCTGACAGTGAAAAGCTTTCTGAACCAGGAAATGAAACCACTTCCTGATTGAGGTGGTGTGAAGAAATAAGTCATGGCTCAGGGGGACAAAATCAGAACTAAATGTATTCAAGTATCTATGGCTAGTTCCATCACTGAGTGATGGCTTCACATGGAGAAAATACATCCCACTTCCCTGTGCTGACATTTGCTAATAAAAAAAAAAGTCTATACAATCATAGATGATAACTGTTCATGTCTGGAGTCTATGAGAAACAAACATTAATTTTTCTTCATTATGAAATGAACAGTGAGTTTCATGAAAAAAAGGTGTTATAATTTTATGAGGTTCATAAATTTAAAATTAGCAAAGAAAGCCAATAGATGAAAAGACACAAATAAATGACTGAAAGCTCCAAGTCATTTTCCTCCCTGTTCTACTGGCATATTATAAATATTTGAGCTGCGATGTGTATATAAACAAACTGAGCATTAAGTTCATCCCATTTGACAGCAGTAAACCATATTTAGTTGGAAATGATGTGCCGATGACACAAGTCCACTTAGAGCTAAAGGGTACCAGTGTTCTGAATTTTCCCATCCTTAATCCATAAGCTCTGAGTCACAGTAGACGTTTTACAACTGTAAACATGCCAACAGAAGATAGTTTCAGGTATTCTTGGCAAAGCTCATGCTTATGACGTGGAGCTAATATGATTGTGTCTTCAGACTCATTTATGAATTCACATTACTTAGGAAACCTGGGAAATACTAAAGTTTAAGAATTTTCTTGGAAAATTAAAACTTAAAATTTTCCCCAAGAAAGAATAAATAGTAGAGTAAGGTGGGGAAGAAATGTAAAGGAAGAGATGTTAAATTGGGACCACACCAATTTAAAGGGAAATAAAAACATAAAAGGAAAGGGGCATAAAAATATTTTGCTTTACAAAAGGGAATCAAATATTAAGAATCCCATGAATCGGGAAACTCTCAGCTCAAGTTCTGCTTTGAAATTCTGTTTGGGGCCAAATAAAACTATCCAGCTTACAACTCCATCACAATTTTGAATGTGGTACCTCTACTATTGCTTTACTTATAAAATACTTAGAATTGATAATAATGGTTATGCATTGTCGTATACTTTGCAACAGTTATTATTTAAGCACAGTATTAATTCATTTATTCCTTTGAGGACCTCAGGAGACACTGTTATCACCCATTTTATAAATAAGGACTGGAGACACAAGAATAGTCCATAAATGAAGGATGAGAGGACTTACATATAGCCGTATGTGTGTGTGTTCTTAAGCACCATGCTGTATTTAAGGCTCATTTAAAAAAAGAAACCCCAAATCTGTTTCAGGATAAAGTATTCCAGAATTGGATACTGGAAGATAGCTTTGGATGAAATAAGCTCTAACTTGAATCTCATGCCCACAGCTGTTATTCTTCAAAACCTCGCTGTTTCTAAGGTTAAATCTGGAAGTAATGTTCACGATTTTATGGAAGGTTATCTGACAGGGAGAAACACAGAGTCCAAAAAATCTGATGCAGAAAATCCATCTTGTGAAATCTAACACATTGATTTCTAAAGAAGACGTGAATATCTAAATTTACATATGCACAAACCTTAAATATAAAGACATTTTTAATAACTGTTATAACCATGGGCATGATCTTACTTTTTTTGAATTTCAATTTCCTTATCTGTATAAGGCAGATAATGAGATGGTGGTTGTAAGTATTCAAAATATGTAAATACATACACAATGGAAATTATTTATTCCATAAAGTAAAATAGCAGTAAAGCACTCAGTCCTCGCAATGACTTACACAGTGGTTGTGCTCAGCCTTACAAACAATAATTAAAGAGAGAGAGGAGAATAGGATGGGAGAATGGTGATCCTCAAAAAGATATGTCCACATCCTAATCCCTAGAACCTATGAATATGACAATTTGGAAAAAGGGTATTTGCAGATATAATTAAGGATTTTGAGGTAAGGAGATCATGCAGATAGGTTCTAAACTACTGACAAGAATCCTTATAAAATACACATAAAGGAGAGACAGCGACAGAAGAGAAAGTCATTGTGACCACAGACACAGATTGGAGATATCTAACCACAAGCCCAAGGAATGCCAACAGCCACTAGAAGCTGGAGGAAAGGGGAGCAAATTCTCCTGGGAAAGCTTCAGAGACACTGTAGTATTCCCAACACTTATTCCAAACTTCTGGTCTCTGGAAGTGTGAGAGAAAGAGTTTTTTTTTTTTTTTTTTTAATTAATATGTCAGTTGATGGTCATTTGTTATAGCAGCATGAGGACACTAATACAGTAGACTTGGTATGTACTGAACTCTTACACCATAAAAGAAATCAGATCTAAGGGGATGGGGTTATGGCTCAGTGGTAGAGCGCTCACCTCGCACATGCAAGGCCCTGGGTTCAATCCTCAGCACCACATAAAAATAAATAAATAAAATAAAATAAAGTTATTGTGTACAACTACAAAAAAAATTTAAAAAAAGAAATCAGATCTATGCATAGCCTACTTTCCCTGAAATCTCTCAGTTAATAAACACACAGGATCCAGTTTCCAAGCTTATGATATATCTTGTGGATATGAAGCCACTGCTCTATAATCAGATGATTGTCCACATTTTTCTACTGTCTAAGTCATTCACCAAAATATTACTGATACATATGGTCATTCCTGTTATATATGATATTATTTAGAAAATGGTCTGACATGTATATGCACAAATTCTTATTTTATTTAAGAAGACTCTTTCTGCCTTGCCAAAATAATCCAGTAGTGGTGTCAGTTTCAAGGCTATTGATCATTTACCTGCAATGACCATATTTAGAAAAGCAATGAGCTCATTAGAGGAAACATGGAATCCAATTTCATTAGGTATTAATGCTCAGGGGCACACTATTAAATTGCTTGGTATTCACACTCAGTTAAGGTACGTGAGAATAGTGGCTGTAATTAACTAAACTTCTGTGTTAATATAGCACTTACTGGAGACACCCTTAAAGGTGCCTTTGTGCTCAAAATACAAGGTTAAAAGATTTTGTGTTATTTATCATATTTGGGAAAGTCCTCTTTATTGCAATACATAGTCTTTGTCTAACCCAACCTTCTGTTACAAAATGGCTTATTAGGAATTTTTTTAAAAGGAAGCAAATGTTAAGTTCTTGCAAGTTTTAAGACAATTTAAAAAAATACTCTGATACTTATATTATTATAGCTGATATTTCTGAAAAGAGCAAAAAAAAATGCAAAATCTCGGGAAGTCATTTTATCCCACAGCATCATTCAAAATAGAGTATTTCAGACTTGAGCTATCTCCTTATTAGATGCAATTTCAATGTATAAATAACATAGAAAACAATGCTAAAATCCAGGTATAATGGTGAATGCTTGTAACCCCAGGGACTTAGGAGGAAAAGGCAGGAGGATCCCAAAGACAGCCTGAGCAACTTAGTGAGACCCTAAGCAATTTAGTGAAACCCTGTCTCAAAATATAACTAACTAACTAACTAAATAAATAAATAAATAAGGGCTGGGGATGTGGCTCAGTGGTTAAGCACCCCTGGGTTCAAGCTTCATTACCAGAAAATAAAATAAAATAAGAAAAGAAAAAGAAAACAATGCTTAAAGAGTTTGTATGCTATTTCAATGAATATCTGCCATCACTCCTGAAAGTGAGTGAGAAGTGGATTATCTCCTAAATGAGGACAGGAATGACAGTGAAGTCAAAGACACAAATATGAAGCCAATATAAATTAAATGAAAGTTAAGATGCATATGTGTGAATTAGAAAAATATTGACAGCTTTGTTTCTTCAACAAACATCTGTTAAGAACCTATTATGTACTAAGAAGGAGGCCCTGTAGGATCCTTGAAGCAAAGAGCCACATTTGTCTTAGTTGTTGCTATATCTCATGTACTTGACATGCTGGCACATAACAAGCATTCAGTGAAAATTTTGGAAAATAGAGCTGCACTAAATGCACATACAAAAAACAATGCAATATTGAAAGTGTTCTTAATTGCTTGCAGATGGTTAAAAGGAGAGCTTTTACAGAACACTCCAGGTTTCCAGCTTCTTTTGAAAACTTGGTTGTGATGGTGTCCTGAAGTATTCAGTTGCACAAAGTAATAATTAGCAAGAGTGGATAGAGTAGTTGTTCCCAAGTAGGTGGGTCTTGTCTTCTGGGGGCTCCCACAATTCCTACACAGTCTGCCTCACTCATATATGTTGGCTACCTCGTTCCTCAAGGCATTTGAATTTTCCCCTGATGCTGTACACTAATAATGAACTGTCAGACTTCTACCTAAAATTTCAGTCCCAATTCAAAGACATCCCTTCTTCCAAAAAGTCTTCCATGCCCTCTTTCACTGGAATTAATCTATTTGCTTAAAAATAGATTTCCTTAAAAATAAAAAATTAAACTAAACCCTGAGTTTCCATAGTAATTTCTCCATATTTATAGAACACTTTCAATATTGCATTATTTTTTGTAAGTACATTTTGTGCAGCTCTATTTTCCAAATTATATTCACTTGTTATGTGACAGTCAACATGCCAAGTATATGGGATACAGCAACAACTAAGACAAACATGGCTCCTTGCTTAAAGGATCCTACAAGGCCTGCTTCATGGTACATAATAGGTTCTTAAAAGATGTTTGTTGAAGAAACAAAGCTGCCAATATTTTTCTAATTCACATATATACATCTTAACTTTCATGTGAACTTTGTAGAAAATGGTCACTGTATGCATAATTTCTCCTTCATATGTCCTTTTAACTTTACTAAATAAACTAGAAAACTAAATCT